TATGACGTGAGCCGTGACGACCAAGGCCAGGTGGGAGCCAGCGGGCGTAGTGTACCAGTTTCCTCTTTGGTGCTAAGGAGGCAAGCGCAGGCGCGGGTTCCCGAGGAATCAAGCAAAGGTTTCCATATTGGTGCAACAAGACCAAGACCACCAGGACGGCAGGACGGGGGTCATCGCAGAGCCCATTACAGCCTCACCATCAGAGACTTTTGTAGGCAAATACCACTTTTGTCAGGATAACTTGTACTAGTTGTCTTTCTTCAATTTGGCTGTTGTGGGATCCCTTCCCGCCTATATTTGGGGAGAGGAGCAAGGCCCCTATAAATAGGACTTAGCCACCATCATAGAAGGGGACGGATCATTCAGATCGTCCTCTCATCCACCAGCTCATCGAACGCAAGAACACCTCACGTACTGAGGTTGTTCTACCACTGTACTAGTTCATCCTCAGCCCCTCGAGGCAATCCACCACAAAGCTGGAGTAGGGTATACACCGCAAGGTGGCCCGAACCAGGATAAACTGATGTGTCTCTTGTCCCTTGGGTTCGTTGAGCTAGGCCTTGGAACCATTGAGCAGGCAGACTGGGGAGGACGAGTTCTTCGCACGCACCCTAAAGTTCGAACCTCTCATGGGTTTGCCCGAATCCGTCATTTGGTGCGTCGGGTAGGGGTGCGTTGGAGCCTCTCTTCCGTCGATCGACTCGCCATCGCTCCATCAGTTCCATGGCTTATGCTCATCGAGCTCGTGTTGAGCGTTGGGCGCTCTCGCTGCTCGCGTCACCCAGACGGCGCCCGCCGGCGAGCCTCCCCATCTTTCCCCATCGCCTGCCGCCAACGCCGCCAACGACCCGGCGGGGTACGAGTAGCAAGCTTCATCGTTGCACCCCTCCGTGTGGCGTGATGGACGCACGGCCACTCCGTCGCTGACTTTGGATGCTTCGTCGTCTCACGCTCGTTCCGGGCCGGCGGACGCGCAAGCTGCGCTGCTCATGGCGCGCAAGCTCCTGCGCTACCGCCCCGTCGACGACTTCTACGAAGACTGGCTAGACCGATCACCGAGCTTGTCAACACCGCTGGGGCTCTCCTGCGTTGTCCCTCTCGCTACCTCGCTCACCACCTGTCGCGGGCGACGTAGCCCATGGAGCGCCTCCGCCACCTCCTCATCAAGACGTCACCCTCAGACCAAGGTGCACGGCCCCATGGCGTGACTAGCCACGCAGGGCGCCCACGCATGAAGAAAAAAGCTGCCAGGAGGTCCAGCGGCCACAATAAGGTGCTCCAGCACTCCCTGCGCCACCACGTCAAGACCGCGCGCTGCCTATGGTGGTGGCGCGTGAGTGCCAAGATCAGGCTCCACCTCCACGCCGGGCTCCCGTGACCATCGCGGGTTGCTGAGACTCCCGAGCTACGCAGTGTCATCTGGCCGGGGAAATTCAAGCCTGACCTGCCTCCACGCCACGACGGCTCCCCCCGACCCTACCGAGTTCCTGCAGCTGTACAAGCTGAGCATCGAGGCGGCCAACGGCGACGAGAAAGTCATGGTGAATTGGTTTCCCATGGCCCTCAAGGATGGCGCACGCTCGTGGCTCCTGAACCTGCCCGCAGGATCGATCTCCTCCTAGGGCGAGATGCACGAGCGTTTCGTCGCCAACTTCCAGGGCACTCGCGACCGCCCGCCTGCTGCGGGTGACCTGCGGCGCATCAAGCAACAGCCAGGTGAAACCCTGCAGAAGTACATCCAGCGCTTCAACAGCGTTCACCTCAAGATCCCCAAGGTGTCGGACGAAGCCATCATATCAGCATTCTCTGATGGCATCTGTGATGTCAAGATGAAGGAGCAACTTGCCATACACGAGGACCTATGCACGGCTCTAGAGATGTTCAACATGGCGACCAAGTGTGCGAGAGATGAGGAAGGACGCCTCTCCCTCCTCGAGCTCCCAGCGGCCGACCCAGAAGACAAGAAGGTCAAGGCCAAGGACGTGAAGCGCAAGGGGGTGGCCGTGCTCGCGGTTGAACTAGAGATGAAGCGCGGCTGTGACCACCCAGAGTCATCCAAGGGCAGCCGTCCGTTCCGCGTCTTCCACAACGTACACAACCACAACACCAATGACTGTTAAGAGCTCAGGGCCATCCACGACGGGCGCCTCGGTCGTCGCCCCGAGCGTAACGATCGAGGCTACGACCGTGGAGGAGGTCGAAGTGGAGGACACTGGGATGACTGCGGCCCCCGCCACGAGCGGCGCCACCAACCTCGCGAGGACTGCTGGCAGGGCCAGCCACGCGAGGACGCCTGGAGAGATCCGCCTCGTGAGGACCGTCCTCAGGGCAATGCTGGCCTCCCTCCGCTGCCACCACCACCAAGAAGGAACGACGACCACCACCGA